ATGCCCACAACCACCATTAAACCATCAACTTAATCACCTCTTCAAGGCCCCACCTTTCAATTATGATAACAGGATTTTCCACCCTCAACAAGTTACAATGGGGATTAAGCTTCCAATATATGAACTTTGGGGGACACAATTCAATCAATCCATAGCAGGAACCCGGAATGGGAGATGATATTTGTAACAAATATAACAACAAAGGGCTTGTATTGAGAATATATAAAGAGCATCAAAAAATTAATAAGAAAAATTCAGACAACTTAATAGAGAAATAAGCAAGAGCTTAAACAAGGATTTCACAAAAGAGAACATCCAAAAGTCAATAAACATATGAACATATGCTCAAATTCAGTAGTAATCAGGGAAATACTGGTTCCTACTGTTCTTACCAAATTTGGTTCAGTGGTTTTTCTTACAAACACTTCTCACTTTATTTTATACCAGGGCCCTGAAATGATTGTTTTGACAAAAATTTCTTTTTTTCAGTCAGTTCTATCACCGCTATTTAGGAAGAGGATTTTCTGAGTTCCTCACTTAGCCATTTTGTCAGTCTTATGTCTGTCTTAAAGTGAGGAAATTCAGGCTTCAGAGGATGTGTTATCTTACCTAAGCTCCTACAGCCAGGCACTGGTGCAGCCAAGACTGAGTTTGAGCAGATAACATGGGACCTATATTCCCTACTGCTTCAGATATTATTGGGCAATAAAAAATCACTTAGGGGCATGGATTCATTCCATCAAGTCATTTAGAAATTACTTCATTCATTTTTCTAACAGATGAAAATATTTCATAGGGTTTTTTTCTGTTTTGGGTTCCAGTGTCTCTAGGAAGAAGAGAATCAGCTTATATGTGACATTTTAAACTCAGTTAGATGAAGGCTATAACAAATAGAAGGTGGTTTGTTTTGTTTTCACTATAGCAAAATTCTCCATCAAGAGACCATCATAGAGTCTGTTTAATGCATTTACTAACTGTCCACTGTAAATTAGGATTTCTTCAAACAGAAAATGAAATATGTGATAAAAAATTAACATAGTTTGAATTATTTTTGTAGTACAGTTTCAAACACTCTTTTTATGATCATAAGACTAGGCCACNTTTGAATTATTTTTGTAGTACAGTTTCAAACACTCTTTTTATGATCATAAGACTAGGCCACACATAGGTATAAGCATAACATTAATGCTAAATTATATTTCGTGTGGTTTGAAATGATGCCACCGTACTCCTATGTCTGCAGCTTCTTTTGCACTGGGGATTCCCACTGTTAACAGAGGAAATCATACTTACCTGAAGCAGACGTTGACCTCTCTTCTCTCCAGGATGACTCTTTCAGAAGAGAAGGACTCTGTGGTGATTGTCTCTGTTGCAGATGTATGTATGAAAAATAAGCTCTCATTACTTTCACCCTATAGTCTCCAGATTCCCTTCTTCAATGATAATGAAAAGTTTTTAAATAAATTTTTAAAAAATAATCCATAGATGCTTTATTTGGATAGCAGAGAATATATTTAATACTTATTTGACACCATTGAAAGAAATATGTAATCTAAAAAAAGAAAACATGGTGACTTAATGTGGGAGATACTGTATAAGATTGCTCTATTTGAACTGCATTTAATATAGGATTCCTGCATAGTATATGGTACAGAAATTATATTTACAAACAGAACATTAAAAATGGTGCTATAGTAATAAAACCTGCTCAGCCCAATATAAGGTTGGCATATGAATCCAGAGATAATTTATATTAAGTAACAACAACAGTCAACATGCAACATTTTGTACCCAGTTCCATGAAAGCTGTAATAAACGGAAATTAGTTGCTTTTATTTTCACTACAGTAATAATTGTACAGTATTAGCTGAGGGACTCCTTCCTATACCTGAGGGATTGTGGATGATTTTTTTCTAGACATTATTTAAAACTTGCATTACATCCCTGTGAAGTAGGTACTACTATCCTAATTTTACAGATGAAGGAACTCAAGCTTAAAGAAACTACATAACTAGCCCAG